TCGGACACGTCCGGTCACCCCGTGACCAACGCATTCAACTTCTTTTTTTCACCAACTTCTCCTTTGCAAATGCGCCAACACCACCAAGTGTACAACACCTTGTGCACGTGTGTTAGCTTTTCACAAACATTTTCAAGGAGTTAACCACTCAACTTACTGGGCCACTCAATCCTAGCAATGATGCAAAGTTAGATCACTCGAGTGGCACTGGATGACCGATTTGTAAACAAGTTTGCCCCTCTTGATAGTATGGCCATCTATCCTAAACCCAGTCTTCAACTTCTCTACACACCTATGATCGGTGAAATGAAATGCCCTAGGTTATAACTTTGCCTTGCGCATTCCATTCCATCTCCTCCGATGTCGATGCAACACATGCACCAACACGATCAACAGTAATCATATTGGTTCATCGATCTTGACTTCACTTGTTTTTCACCATTGCCTTCATCCATCGATGCCAAGTCTTGCTCAAGCTTCACCGTCATGCGGTCCATCGCTCCAAAGCCTCCAACTTGCCCTTCACGCTTGTAACCGGTCCATCAAGCCAAGTCATGTCTTGATCTTCTCCATCTTGATCACATGACTCAATGTCATGTCTCATGTGCAATGAGCTCCTTCATCATCACATGTGTGAGCTTTGCAACATCTCTGAGCCATTTCCACCTCCATGGCATATGTTGCTCACACACATGTACCTGTGGACTAATCACATGTGTATCTCATATAAACACAATTAGTCCACCTAGGGTTGTCACTCAATTACCAAAACCAAACAAGGACCTTTTACCCTTGTATTCATGCTGTCAAAAGCTCAATCTTTAAATTAAATGTAAGCTTTAATTGTGTTGTCAATATTTACCAAAAAAGGAGAAGATTATAAGTGCAATCAAGCCCTAAGTGGGTTTTGGTGATGTTGACGACATAATTAAAGGACTAGTGGCTTCTCTAAGTATTTGATAGAGTATCATTAGTCATGGGTGCAAAGAAACAAAGGAGGAGACCCCCCAATTCTTTTGGAAGGCTTGCAACAGCTCAAAGAGCTAGTTTACTTCTTTTTATATTTTGAAATTGAGTTATAGGACAAGCCGTATTATTAAGGGGATATTAATGGTGTGCTGGGTGGAACCAAGTGCTCAAAACTCCATCTACATCTCAAATAATCCCAGCCACAAAAAGCCAGCAGAGCTGAATTCTTATCTGCTCTGGCCTACGTGGAACCTCCGCGCTCAGGCACGGAACCTCCGTGGCCTGACACGGAGGCTCCGGGATCTGTCAGACCTGATCATTTTGTGGGTGATGGTGGGGGTATTTATACCTCACCCCTTCGCCCCCAACGGTCATCTTCTTCCCTGACTCATTCACTTCGAACAGAAGCTCTCTCTCTCAAGCTCAGTGCCTCCCAACTCCCTTGCTCAAGATCTCCATGATTCCTTGAGGGATTTGGCTCTAGAGTGTGAGAAAGCTCGAGAAGATCCTTCTCCTCCGTTCTTGTGCACTTGGTGAAGCTCTAGCCGCTTGGTGTGTTCGTTACTCTTGGAGCTTGGCTCCTAGACGGCTAGCGGTCGCCCGGGAGTTTCCAATCCTTTGTGGCTGAGCACCGGGACATTTGTATTACCCTTTGTGACTTAGTGGAACCCTCCAATCTATTGCCTTGGTGATTGGTTGGAGAAGAGGAGCGAGTTCAAAGAGACTCCATAGCCTTTGTGGCTAACCTCAACAATGTGGACGTAGACAAGCCTTTGTGGCGAGTTGAACCACGGGATAAATCCATGTATCTCTTGTGTTTGTGATTGTTGTTGCTATTACTTGTGATTTGAATTGATTTTTAGGGTTTGCATCCGATCTACGAGTTCCTCATCTTTTAGGTGCAATCAACCATTTGGATAGCTCACCAAATTCCCTAGGAAGACTGGTATCACATTTGATCTATTTTTCATTTACTAAATTCCGTAGTAGGTCGATTTCATACTCTAATCCCGGAGGTTCCACGCTTAGCCCCATAACCTCCACGCCCAGAACCTCCACGCTTAGGCCCGGAGGTTCCGCGTTCTGACTGATTTTGTGAAGTTGATTAAATTTTAGAAAAAGGCCTATTCAGCCCTCCTCTAGGCCACTTGCTAGATCCTTTCACCATCCATCTAGTCGGCCTCCCTCCCCAAACCCCTTCTCTTCTAACCCCACCGGAGTTGGGGAAGATGAGAGGGAGAGAGATGGGGAGAAGCCCACCGGAACCCTAACTCATAGATGCTTGAACACGGGAGGAGGAGGACACACCCTACCAGTGCTGCCACTGCTAGAACTCACGTGCTCGTGGGGGGAGAGAGAGAGGGGAGACACGTGCACGTGGGGAAGAGTCGTGTTGTGCGGTGCGACTTTAAAATGGCCATTGCCTAAAAGGAGAGTTGGCGTTTAGATTGTGGCATATGGAGGTTGGGATGGGAATATGGGATATGGTCAAAATTATGTCCTTTGTTTGGATCATGGGAAAGGAAAACAGATCAGATTGAGAGAGGTGGGTTACGACTTGAATAGGAGTTTGCGCCGCTATCGTCGATGACTGACCTCGATTCCTCTCTCTCCCCTCAACATCGACAACGCCATCTTCCGATTGCGAGTCAGAAATTGTTGCTGTCGTCGGCATTGATGAGCTTGGTGCTAATGCAGGAGCCGCGCACGCAGCTCTCCTCGGTAAGAATGTCATACATTCCATAGAGCGCCATACATTACTTAGTGAATGTCCCCATGATCATAGCCTACACTCCCTTCTAAGGTGTCTTTAGCCTCATGAATATCCTTGGCGCCATACATTCCATAGAGCACACGTGGCCATTCCCACCATGACAAGACTTCAAGGCATTCCCCCTACAAAACACAAGTTAGTCACACAAAGTTGTGTTCGTCATTCATTGAAACCCCATGATCGCCACAAATGGGACCTAGATGCGTTCAATCTTCCCTTTTTGTTGATTGATGACAACACAAGTATTCAAACTTAAAAGGATTTGAAATTGAAAAGTAACTCATGAGTATGAAAAGTTATGAGTTAATTACGAAACATGCTCGACAAAACCGACCACTTGTTCACCTAAGATTTGTAAGAAAGCCCATGGAACAGTGTTAGTGACAAGAGATATATAATAAAGTGTAAAAGAACAACACTTGACAAAACAAAATGGTTAGCTTGAACTAAAACAAGTAGCACACACAAGTATCACACAAAATATGCAATACATGAAGAGCCAAGTCTAGCCAATCGATCCACACTCTCAAGCTCTCGCCTATATCTCAACCCTCTCCCCATTAGCATCAAAGCACCAAATAGAGACCTAAATCTACATGCCGGAGGTCGGAAGAGGAGGTGCAAATGAAGTATCAATCTGGGAGTCACTATGAACTGTGAGGCATCTAACTCATCGTCCTCATATCGTTGATCTAACCAAGTGCATTGACGATCGTAGTATCGGTCTTCTCCTACTTTGCTAGATTAGTGACCCATATTGGACTTAGGCACAACACTAGGAGTCCTACTTGAGTTGACGAGGTCTATGAAACCTTTTGACATGCAAGTATGCGTTTTCATACATGTTAGTATTATTTTACGTGTTAAATGAAACAGTCATATATGAAATACAATATAAGTTAAATATTATGCCAAGTGGATCATGTTATCTGTATTTATTTGCTAAAAGGAACTTTTAGGTGGTATGGTGATGTTTTTATAAAAGGTATTCTGACGTGAAATGGCTCAAATAATGAAAGTTAGAATTTTGGTTGTTGCAATAAAAGAGTTTTGTTTTCCATGTATGCGAAACGAGAACCTTTTTGCGCCTTTTGTGTTTCCTTGCAAGCATCACCTTTAGAGGATTAACACATCTGTCACTTGTCGACTTGTGAGAGGCTAGCATGAGGATCCCGATGATGGCAGAGGCGCCTTAGCGATGTTGATGTGTGCTAGGAGCCATGGTCGATGAGGAGGTGGATGCAAGTGGTGTTGCTTTGGTTGAGCATAATAGCGAGCCGTGACAAAACAACCGGGCCCGATCCAAATGACGAGGATGACGTTGAGGCGGTCGAATAGGTGTGGAGACCGGAGAGAGGTTGACACTTTTCTCGAGGCGATGGATCAACATAGCCGTAGTGGGGAAGGACTGAGGCGACATGATCGAACAATATCGACGAAGCGCAGAGTGATGCGAAGAAGGCGATGGTTCGACGGGTGAATGTAGGCGGTATGAAGTTTCTACATACCAATATTAGATCCCGTTATAACCTAATTAATGCTGGAATGAAACAAACAGAATCAAAACGTAATCTAGGTGAACCAAACAAACCAAATGTAAGTTTCTTTTTTGTCATACTAGTACAGTGTATCTAAGCAAAAACATAGGCCACGTTTAGCCGGCGAGTTCACTGTAGCTATACAGTGACGTTTTGTTTTTATTTGGTAATAATTGTCCAATCGTTGACTAATTAGGCTCAAAACGTTCGTCTCGCAAAGTACAACTAAACTATGCAATTAGTTTTTGATTTCGTCAACATTTAGTACTACATACATGTACCACAAGTTTGATGTGACGAGGAATCTTCTTTTTGCATAGTGTCAAAGTTTGAAATTGGGGGTGAACTAAACACCCCCATAGCCTGAATCCTAATAATCTTGTCAGTTCAAACATAAGTTAGGGCCTGACAGCCTGTTGGACCCACAGAAGCGAAAGGAAGCCAGAATCCAGACGCCAAAAATAGATTAGGATCGTAGAGGCCCAAACTCCAGAGCTTAAAATGGTCGACCAAACCAACAGATTACAAAATCCCAACGAGAACATCGTTTCTGATCCCTTTCCAGCACCTCCCTCCCTTCGCAGCCACGCGACGACGAAACCCTAGCCTCCTCCTCCCCCCTCCCCCACCAGACCACCACCTCGTCGGAACCCCTGCGCCTCGCCGGAGCACGGGGTCATCGGCCCCCGTCGGCCGCGGCTGCGGAGGAGCGGAGGAAGATGATGAACGGCGGCGGCGGCGGCGGCGGCCAGAAGAAGCGGGGCACGAGGATCGAGCCCTTCCGGCACCGCGTAGAGACCGACCCCAAGTTCTTCGACAAGTCGTGGCGGAAGCTCCATGACGCCATCCGCGAGATCTACAACCACAACGCCAGTGGCCTCTCCTTCGAGGAGCTCTACAGGTTAACATTGCGCGCCCACCCCTCGTTCCCCCGAATTTTTGGTTGCCCCCCTGTTCCGTCAGATTCTGTGACACGCGATTTGGTCGCGCTGTATGATCGCAGATGATTCGGATAGATAGCGGCCATGAATGAATGGATTGATTGCTGTGCTGATTGGCGATCTGTATTTTTTTTCAAATTTTATAATCGATCCTTCTGTGGGCCTGTATGCGTGTGAGATGATGATATGCGAATGTTTGTGAATAGATTGATCTTGATTCATATGTCTTATTATTAGTGTAGTAGGGCTTGTCCTGTAACCATGATTTGTCAGCATGATATTAGGATCTTCTATTTATTGGTCCATGCTTGCTCATGGCTTTATTTTTGTGTACTATTAAATTTTGGTATTTGCTTGAAGCCTTCAGGCCATTTGCAGCGTCGTTTTCTCGGTGTCGGCATTAAATGCTTAAACGGTTGGAATTCTTGTTTTAATTCCGTGCTATGCAAGTAAGGAAATTTGGGTTCGGACCGTTATGGAAAAAGAACTGGATGCTTCCGTTTTAATTTTTGGGCTACATATGCCTACACTATAGCTGAACCGACGAGAACTGCCATCTAGACTTTACATAAATCTTATTTATTAATTATCTAGAGAACTCCCTTAACGATCTTGTGTTCGTGTTCCTGTGCTTCCTAATTTGTTACCTTAGTTATAGATACACTTGATATGTCACGGCATCGGTACCCCCGCATAGTTGGCACCTAGCAGTCCACGTGGACGGGTTGCACTGTTCACTTCTTTACTGAACCGAGAGATGCCACTATCGTGCTCAACCACTCACCATCTAATAGGTAGGTGCCTAGGAGTCCTGATGCATTGCAACTAGGATTTATGACTTTGTATGCATGGTGACCAAGGTGAAACTCATACGTATTGGCAATAGAAAGCCCACAACAGAGCTGGATGTCATTTACTTTACGTAACAGATCCAGATATCTGCCACACTGCAAACCATAAAGAACAGAATCAGATCTTGGTGATCAAGAATGAACTTTTCAGTCAACATTGAAGCATAAATTGATGTTTGTTCCAACACTAAAGGGCGTACCCAGTGCAGAGAGCTCCCGCTCTGTGCGGGGTCTGGGGAAGGGTGTCAGTGGCAAGCCTTACCCTCGCCTGTGCAATGCGAGGAGACCGCGACTCGAACCCGGGACCTTCCGGTCACAGGCGGTAAGACTCTACCGCTTGCACCAGGCCCGCCCTTCATGTTTGTTCCAACACTGAAGTTAGTAATCTCTTTCAGTTTAGGATGTAAGCTTTTGAATGCCTCCTCTAAGTTGGCATGCTAAGCAACATGAAGTTCGATGGAATTAAAAGAAACCATCAAACTTGTTCTGACTAATGTGATAGTATCGCAGGATGTGCATACGTATGAAGACTTTTTAGCTCGTGAGGACTTGTGGAGGTCTATCATGAGCTAATTTCTCAGCATCAGATGCAGGCAGCTATGGATGTTCTTAGTAAACCTGAAAACACAAGAGGAACTTGTTTAGTTAAATTTTTGCAACTGCTTGCTTCTGTTTAGTTTGGAATTCTCAGACCTTCTGTCTTCAGCAATTCTTTCTTCTTTTGGCAAATAGTTGTAAGCACTGGTACTGTACTATTTATCTATAATTCGTTTTACCATTATTTATAGTGAACTACTTTTTAGCATGTTGCAGCCTTTAAACTTTCCAAATTGTATGTGAATACATCAGTGATGCAATAGATAAGTATGTTCATACATCAAGATTAACTCAGTCGTACTTCATATATCACTTCCCATGATTGATCCTTGTTCTCTGTTATTTTGTGTCTTTGTTGCTTTATCAAACTCAAAGTTAGACAATTAAATAAACAGTATTATTCTTCTGTAAGTTTGCTGTCTAAAAGAAGTGTTTTTCTTGTCTATTTGGTCTGTAGAAACTTATTTTCTTCAGGCTATTATTACTGTTATGTTAAAAAGAATAGTTGCCGCAGCATACAGGAAGCAGATGCTTTTTCTATAAACCTTGCACCAGTTCTTAATACTGAAAACATAACATAACTGTATGAAAGAAACAAGGACTGACAACCCCAGGCCTGCTCAGTCCTCTCCCAAAAAAATATATTGGTGTGTGTGTGTTTAAAATTTGTGTGTTTAACATAACTATGTGTGTGTGTGTGTGTTTAAAATGTCCTTGAATATATTGGTGAATATAATATTTTTCTTATATTATGGCAGGACTGCTTATAACATGGTACTGAACAAGTTTGCTCCTCAGCTCTATGAGAAACTCACAGAAAACATGAAAGAACATCTTGAAGATATGCGCACATGTATAGACGCTGCTCAAGGTGGTTTGTTCCTGGAAGAGTTGCAGCGAAAATGGAATGACCACAACAAGGCATTGACAATGATTAGAGACATCCTGATGTATATGGACAGGACTTATATTCCCACTAACAAAAAGACACCTGTCTTTGATCATGGATTAGAGCTTTGGAGGGATACCATAGTCCGGTCTCCCACGATTCAGAGTAGGTTGTCTGACATGCTACTCGAGCTCATACATAGTGAAAGGACAGGTGAAGTGATTAATAGAGGCTTGATGAGGACTACAACAAAAATGTTGATGGATCTAGGGTTGTCTGCTTTATCGGGATGATTTTGAAAGGCCATTTCTTGAGGTTTCTGCTAGTTTCTATAGCGGTGAGTCACAACAATTCATTGAGTGCTGTGCTTGTGGTGAGTATCTGAAGCAGGCTGAGAGGCGCCTCTCTGAAGAATCAGAGCGTGTGTCACAGTACTTGGATGTCAAAACCCATGAGAAAATTACTACTGTTGTGGTGAATGAGATGCTAGCAAATCACATGCAGAGGTTGATTCTTATGGAGAACTCGGGCTTGTGAATATGCTTGTTGAAGACAGGTATGAAGACCTGACCAGGATGATGTACACTTTGTTTAATCATGTTCCTGATGGGCTCACAACAATTAGATCTGTGATGGCATCTCATATTAAGGATACCGCAAAGTTTGGTAACAGATCCTGAGAGATTAAAGGACCCAGTTGATTTTGTTCAGCGGCTTCTTAACATGAAGGATAAGTATGACAATATCATCAATGTGTCATTTAGCAATGACAAGAGTTTCCTGAATGCTCTTAATTCCTCATTTGAGCACTTCATAAACTTAAACAACAGATCCCCTGAGTTCATATCACTGTTTGTTGATGACAAACTGCGGAAGGGGGTGAAAGAGGCCAATGAGGAGGATCTTGAAACTGTCCTGGACAAGGTGATGATGCTGTTTAGGTATTTGCAAGAAAAGATCTATTTGAGAAATATTACAAGCAACACTTAGCAAAGCGTCTTATTTCTGGGAGGGCTGCTTCTGATGATTCTGAGAGAAGCATGCTTGTGAAGCTGAAGACAGAATGTGGCTACCAGTTTACTTCGAAGTTGGAGGGCATGTTCACTGATTTGAAGACCTCTGAGGATACTACTCAAGGGTTTTATGCATCTACTTCCTCGGAGCTGCTGGCAGATGCCCCACAATATCTGTCCAGATACTCACCACTGGGTCATGGCCAACACAAACCTGCAATACCTGCAACCTTCCCCCTGAAATTGTCTCTGTCTCAGAGAAGTTTCGGGCTTATTACCTTGGCACACATAATGGCAGGAGGCTAACATGGCAAACAAACATGGGGCATGCTGACATCAAAGCAACATTTGGAAATGGCAGCAAGCATGAATTGAACGTCTCAACATACCAGATGTGTGTTCTGATGCTGTTTAACTCATCAGATGTCTTGACTTACCGTGAAATTGCGCAGTCTACAGCAATACCAGCTGCTGACCTGAAGCGATGCCTCCAGTCGCTAGCTCTTGTGAAAGGTAAGCAAGTCCTGCGAAAAGAGCCCATGAGCCGGGACATTGCCGATGATGACAGCTTCTTCGTGAACGACAAGTTCACCAGCAAGCTCTTCAAGGTGAAGATTGGCACTGTGGCGGCGCAGAAGGAGACCGACCCTGAGAAGCTAGAGACACGGCAGCGGGTCGAGGAGGATAGGAAGCCGCAGATCGAGGCGGCCATTGTGCGGATCATGAAGTCGAGGAGGGTTCTAGACCACAACAGCATAATGATGGAGGTGACGAAGCAGTTGCAGCCCCGTTTCATGCCAAACCCCGTGGTGATCAAGAAGCGGATCGAGTCGCTCATCGAGCGCGAGTTCCTGGAGCGGGACAAGACGGACAGGAAGATGTACCGCTATCTCGCCTAAAAACAACCTCCCCTGTCTTTGGAAATTTAATTTCATTATATGCTACCCGAATCATATAAACAGACCTTGATCCATGTACTTATGCATAGAAGGAAATGGGTCTCTCTGCATCCCGTGATACTTTTTAGTTGAAACCGGTTTTTGCTGGGTTTGTCCAGTTAGTTGCTAGCTTAGCTTCTATAACATCTTGCACTGGGTTACATGTTAATGCTATAGATTGATCTTGCTTGCTGCGATTCAATGCTCTCTTTTGGTTGCTGATTCAGAAAGGCGATCTGATCGCTGTCAAGGTTGACCTTTTGTGGCTTGATGGACAATTGGATGTCACTGAAATGATGCTCGGATGATATTCTACTAAATTGCTCTATCCAGTTTGCAATGCTATGAGGTGCGCGTGGCTTCCAGAATGTGCTGCATGTCACATACATGGACATATGGTGGCATCCCTAAGACATATTTTGGTTTGGTTTGTCCTGGATTGTGATTTATGACCAAAGTTGATGATGCATCAGCATAAAGACTTATCTGATCCATGATTTGTCAAAATTTGAGAAGAGATTGTGCTCGGGTAATTGGGGATTTAGGGTTTGAGGTAATGGTTTCAAATTTCTGTTGGGGTGCCAGGTGAGGTGGACATGGGCGCCGTAGGTTGCGAAGGTGCTCCCTCTCCGAAGCTGGCGACGCGTGCAAACTTCGATGTACAGATCAGGACATTCTTTTGTTAGCTTATATGGAGGCAGATCCGTTTTGTGATGATGAAGTTTGTGTGATTAATTTGTGTTCATTTGATGCTAATATATGTTGTAGGCAGCTCAGGTATGCACAAATGGTGCAGAAGAAGCAGTGCATGCACAGATGTTGCCATCGCTTTCAGTCTCTCCTGAACCATCGCGACACCACGCGTCCACGCCCGATCCAACCCAATCATGCAATGCTGCTCACGCTGTCAGGCCTGCACACACATATGGACACGATGGTGAGCTCCAAGAAAAGCGTTTGATCGTCTTCGGCGGGCGAGCCCAAGTGCGGCGGCGTGTGGCGCGAGCGATGGTGGGGCAGGGGCAGCAGCGCCTGAACGTGGTGCCGACGGTGACGACGCTGGGCATGGTGAAGGCGCGGCTGGCGGGCGCCACCCGCGGCCACGCGCTGCTCAAGAAGAAGTCGGACGCGCTCACGGTGCAGTTCCGCGCCATCCTCAAGCGCATCGTGTCTGCCAAGGACGACGACATGCGCGCCGCGTCGCTCTCGCTCGCCGAGGCGCTCTACGTGGCGGGCGCGCCGCTCCGCCACGTCGTGCAGCAGTCCGTGTCCGGCCCCGCCAGGCTCGGCGTGCGCGCGCACCAGGACAACATCGCCGGCGTCCGCCTCCCGCGCTTCGAGAACTTCCTGGTCAACGGCGCTGCCTCCGCCGGCGGCGGGCAGCAGGTGGCGGCGTGCCACGCGGCGCACGCGCGCGCCCTGGAGGTGCTGGTGGAGCTGGCGTCGCTGCAGACGTCGTTCCTCACGTTGGACGCGGCCATCAGGACCACCAACCGGCGCGTGAACGCGCTGGAGAACGTGGTGAAGCCGCGCCTGGAGAACACCATCGCCTACATCAGGGGCGAGCTGGACGAGCACGAGCGGGAGGAGTTCTTCCGCCTCAAGAAGATCCAGGGGTACAGGCAGCGGGAGCTCGAGCGCCAGAAGGAGGCCGCCACCCGCTACGCCGAGGAGAAGGCTGCCGGCGAGGTCGCGCTCAAGCGCGGCGTTTCCGTCGCCATTGCGGAGAGCATGCTGGAGAACGGCGACAGGGACGAGGATATCATCTTCTGATCCTCCTCCGTGTCTGTCGAGTCGTACGACAATAATAATAGAGCTTGCCGCTTGCTGTGGCTGTGGCAGCTAAACAGTAATCTTCTGTAGACACAGCACAATAAGCTCGTAGCTGCAGTCGGAGGCTATTTGTACATTCCATCTCTGCATTAATCCATGTACGTATCTACTCAGGGGGGCAGCAGCAGTATTGAACATTTTCACATGTGTGTGTTTTCTCAGTTATACATTTGTACTTGGGATAATATTTACTTGCAAATCACATAGCAAGCAGAATCACTCATGACTCATCTGCAGTTCTGCACTGCTGCCTGTGACGAATAAAAGGTTAAGAAGAATGTGAAGGGACAACAGTACTTTCTAGTCATGGCATGAGCTTATTTCATGAAAGCAAAATGGACATGCCAGCACAAGAGGAGGAAGAAAAAGAAGGAATTAAGAGAAAAGGAAGAAATAAAGAAACAACTGTTATGGTGGTCTTGCAACATGCCAAATCCACACTCATTGAGGATCAGCTGTGGTCAGAATCCGCTCCTGTATTTCCGAAAATGTCTTCACATCCTCACCCCACAGCCTAAAAAAGTTACATCAGAGAAAATGATAAAGTAATCAGTGATCCACTCGCATTTTAACAAACCGAAGACCTAACATGGTCCGAATATGGAAACACAAAGGAAAAATACTCCACATACCAGCACTCAAGTCCTATAGCATTGGCACCCGCCTTGTCTGCAGTTTCATCATCTCCTACATGCACTGCCTTGCTGGCTTCCAGATCAATTTGATCTGACAAACAGAAAACAACAAACTTTATAAGTTCTACAGAAAAATTTCATGATCTTTCACAAATGAGACTCGATTTTATACCTAATGCTATCTTGAATATCTCTGGAGCAGGTTTCTCATATCCAACCTCTGATGATACCACGATGGCATCAAACCTGGAGAGCTCAAGGTCTGTTAACATATAGCCATTACTCACAAAAAATATGTATATATAAAAAAACATATCATACTGAAGTATGACTGAAGTAGTTAATTAGACAGGCCAATTTATAGGCACTTACATATCGGAGACATTAAGGTCCTTAAGTAATTTCCGTAGCCTTGTATCAAAGTTAGATACAACAGCTAGCTTAACTGAAATGGAGACACATTAATATCAGCCATTTGTACTGATGGAGTAAGGTAAGGGCCTGAATGTAGAAAGCTAGATATTAATTGCAGTAAACAACTGAGAATTGAAAATCAAGAAACCAAGAACAGAGGAAATGGCTGATATTGAAAATCAAGAAATCAAGAAACCTCCAGCATCCTTCAGCTCACGCAGTGTTGTGTCTGCTCCAATAGGCAAACGCCAAGCATCTCCATGTGCATAATACTGAAAGAAATAATAATCCATCCATTAGCCACATGGTATGGTTTTGAACATTCGACATACCATTAAATTGGAATGCTTCCTTCAACTTAGAAAAACTAAATATGTATACTTGAGAGCGGTGAACTTGATCGCCTGGGCTTCTGTTCACTAACAGCATAGTCAGAACATAAGTTCTTGCTCAATTTCGTGATAGTAGTAACTATAGTAAGGTAATATAAAAGATAGCATGTAAGATCACGAGTTTCTTTAATCAGATACCAAACACTTGAATACATACTCAAATACTCCAATCAACCCTCATTCCAAAAAAGTATTCATCCGAACAACCTCAGCTACAAATTACACATTCCCAGAAGGCCAAAACATGAGGTATACTACCTGATACACTTCTTCGAAGTAATCAACATCAGTGCAATCGGTCGCTTCTGCCACGACAATTCTCCAGAATGGCCGCCCATCTCCCTGCAATTACAGTCCAAAACCCAACACGTCGTGACCTCGAGAGCAATCACGACACAATTTCAAGCCTTCCGAATGCACCATTAGGCATTACCTGGTACCTGAGTGTCTTCGGCCATGGCGCCGAGAATGCCCGCTTGAACCCCTCCATGATTCTCTTCTCAGGCTTTGTCACACCTGGAGAGCGACCAAAGTCAGGAACACCACGAGACCGACCACACGCCAAACGTTTGACGAAATGCAGAGCACGAGAGACATCGAAGGGGTGGAGAAAGTGCGAGGTGGTGGATTGTTGGGGTTGGAGGCGTACGGACCGTAGCGTCGGCCGATGGAGGCGTACGTCTCGGCGACCGGCCGCGCGACCTGCAGCAGCGTGCCGCCGGCGTCGAGCAGCAGCCCGCCGTACGCCGGCGCGAGCCCGCCGGCCCCAGCGCTCGCTGTCACCAGACGCCGCGCCATGCCTGAGCAGGAAACGGCGGTACGGCGGGCCGCGAATGGGACCGCCGGGGCCTGCCGGAGGAGCGTCGCCGCGGCGGGCGGCATCTCCAAGAGGCGTTCGCCGGCGAGTCCGCGGGAGACATGAGGTTGGAGGCGAGAGGCGCGAATCTCAAAGCACAGGCGGGGTGCGCGGAGGCGTAGGGGTATTTTGGTCAGGTCGATGCAGAAAACACTCTAGCGAAGCGAGGGGGGGAAGAGAGAGAATCGCAGGACCAAACCCTAAACCCCCCGCTCCCGCCTCCTTTCGCTGCAGCAGCTTGCCGGGAGCTCGTGCGGCCTTTGCCTCTTGCTGCTTTCGCTGGCCGCCTGATCCCGCTTGCTCTTCGCCGGCTGGGCTCCCGAGCCAGCACTTGCCGGGTGCCGCCGCCTGCCAGGAGGAGCGGCACAGCCGTCTACAGGATTGAAGGTTATTTGTTCGCGGACCTTGAAATCTCTGATTGCCTGTTCACGCTATCTGTAGTAGAAGGCGTGTTCTAATGCAGCCCAAGTAGTTCGTTGTTGTGTTCGCACTGGTGAAAATCTACTGAACTAGCTTTGTGTGATTTGTTAGGGAGGGAAGGTTTGTGGTAGGCAACGTGTAACGTTTATTTCAAATTCCTGGAGGAAGACTTCTGGCGGAACTGTACTGACTTCAGGTGAATCAATCGGCTTCTGCTTCTTATGTATGCCTGTTTAAGAGTCCAATGTGGTTTTGCTGGAAGTTTCAGTTTTGTTTGTTCATTGTTATCCTTCAGATTTAAGTCAAGGAGCTAATTTGGGGGAAGAATGTCTGCAAAGTGGCGGTCACTGCAGCATCGGCACCGGTACACCTACACCTCGATTGTGTTCCCGAAACACTACCATGATGCCCTAGCTGTCGTACCGGCTGAGGTCTCCTCGTCCAATTTCTTTGTCCGATTGAACAACTTGATTTCCCTGACCTCCACTTACTTGCAAGTTGTTGCGGTCAAGGACCTTGCCTCGGCATACATGCAGTTTTTGTCCACTACAGGGATTCCTGATGATGCAGTGCTCGCTGCCACAAAGCTTTATTTGGAGATCCTCTTCCTTGAGAATTCCCTCCCTCTCCACCGGACGCTCATATCAGTGCTCGCCAAGTGCAAGAAATTCTCCACAGTGATCAGTGGGTGTTTTGCCTTGCTCTGTGAGGAGTATGGTGGCTCTGGAAGTAAGGCAAAGAAGAGATTTATGGTATCTCGGGCAGCCTTGTCGCTTATTGGGTACCCAAAGTTGGGATTTTTGGATGAGGCAGTAGAGAGGTGTGCAGAGATCATGGCACTGGATGTTGTTGATGGGCTTGATGGAGTGACTAAAGACATTGGTGAAGGGTCACGGCCATCTCCAGTTGTGATGGAGCAGTGCCAGGAGGCCATGTCTTGCATGTACTACTTGCTGCAGCGGTACCCGTCTAAGTTCACTGTCCTTGACAAGGCGTCAAGTGTCTTCAAGAGTGCTGTCAGGACAATACTATCTGTTCTTAAGTCATCTGCCTTTTCAAGGGATTGTCTGGTGGCCTCTGGAGTGAGCTTCTGTGCTGCAATTCAGGTTTTCATGAGCACAGAGGAGATTTCCTGGTTTATTTCTCAAGGTCTATTTGGCATCTGTGCAAATCATGAAGATAGAAAAAATCAATCTGTGCTCAATGTATTTCCGGACTTTGATCTGTGTGAACAAATCAGAGATCTTTCAGTTTTGAGTAGACTTTGTTTGCTAAGAGGGATTTTGACATCTATTCCAAGGACAGTACTCAACATGCGCCAACTTCATTCCGGTGGACCTTTATGGACTATTTTGTATGATGGAATTTTACCTGAGCTTTGCAAGCATTGTGAGAACCCAGTTGATAGCCACTTCAATTTCCATGCTCTTACAGTGACACAAATATGTTTGCAGCAGATAAAGACATCGATTTCATCTGATTTCACTGACTTCTCTGGGGACTATAAGCCTTTTTCAAAAGATGTTGTCAACCGTATATTGGGAATCATATGGCGCAACCTGGAAGATCCTTTGAGTCAGACAGTAAAACAGGTGCATTTGATCTTTGATCTCCTATTAGATATTGAATTGTGTATTGCATCAGAAGACCATGAACATAACAACAAATTGTTCCTTTGCAATATTGCAAATGATTTACTTCGCCTAGGTCCGCGATGCAAAGGGAGATACATCCCTTTAGCTTCTTTGACAAAGCGATTGGGTGCCAAATCTCTTCTAATATTGAAATCAAATCTGCTTTCGGAAACAGCTTATGCGTACATAGATGATGATATTTGTTGTGCTGCCACAACATTTTTAAAATCTTTCCTGGAGACTTTAAGAGGTGAATGTTGGAATGATGATGGTGTTGAGCTAGGATATGATGCCTTCAGAGCTTTGTGCTTGCCTCCTTTCATGTGGGGACTTGTATCTGGAAATTCAAAACTACGTTCTAACTTAAATACTTATGCTTTGCCTTCTCTAATTGAAGTTGATGCAGAGAGCATATTCACAATGCTTGGATTCATCTCCATTGGCCCTAGTACAAAGGAAACTAAACTAGATGTTGTTTTGAAAAATGACCAGTGTATAGCTGCACTGGTTTCTCTGCTTAAGGTCTCACGAAATCTGGCTCTTGTTGAAGGGGACATTGATTTGGATCCTGATGAATTGTCACAGCCTGAGCAGATGGATAGTAAGGGTGCTGCAGTTATATCTGTTAAAGGGATTAAGGTTACAGTTCCTGTTAATTGGTTTGCTTTGGCACTGACACACAGTGATGAAAGTCTCCGTTTAGATGCAGCTGAATCCCTCTTTCTAAATCCAAAGACATCAAGTCTTCCATCCTCCTTGGAACTGAGCCTGCTCAAAGAGGCTGTTCCATTGAATATGCGTTGTAGCTCAACGGCATTTCAAATGAAATGGACAAGTTTATTTCGGAAGTTTTTTGCTAGGGTGCGAACTGCACTTGACAGACAGGTAAAGCAGGGGTCATGGATTCCATCATTAACGTCTAGTGTTAAAGGAGCTGACTCTATTGATACTTCTGAAGCAACAGTTGTCAAGAGGGCTGAAGATCTCTTCCAATTCATGAAGTGGCTGAGTTCCTTTCTGTTTAATTCTTGTTACCCCTCTGGCCCTTATGAAAGGAAAACAATTGCAATGGAGCTTATTCTTACACTACTAGATGTATGGCCTATTTGCCGCTCTGAAGGGAAAATTGATCTTTATCCTTACAATGACAGCATAATATTGCCAGATTCAACAATTTCATTTGTAGGGTCTATAATTGATAGTTGGGACAGAGTAAGGGAAAACTCTTTTCGCATTCTACTGCAGTTCCCAACACCTCTTCCTGGGATTTCCTTGAGTACATCCATAAATGATGTTATCAGATGGGCAAAAAAACTTGTTCTAAGCCCACGAGTCCGGGAAAGTGATGCTGGTGCTTTAACCTTCCGCCTTATATTTAGGAAGTATGTTTTGGAGCTCGGATTTATTCTTGTATTTTCTAAAGGAAGTGATTGCCTTGAATGTTACACACAATCTATGAATGGAGATACAGAAGTTGTTACTAGTCAAAACCCAGTTGCACAGTATATATCTTCACTCATTCAATGGCTCTGTATTGTTGTCGAAGAGGTTGAGAGGGATCTCTCTGAAGCATGTAAGAAGAGCTTTGTTCATGGAGTTCTTCTTACTCTGCGCTACACATTTGATGAGATGGATTGGAACTCTGAGGTAGTACAATCATGTATTTCTGAAATGAGGTGCCTGGTAGAAAAGCTGCTTCAACTCATAATGCGTGTAACTTCAGTGGCCCTGTGGGTGGTTTCTTCAGACGCATTGTGTCTGCCATATGACATGGATGACGTGATTGATGATGGTTCCTTCCTCTCAGATATATATGAGGAGGATCAACCTACTACCGCTTCAGAAAGAGAGGAGAAGAACGCAAAACCAGGGAGTAATGGCAAACCAGCCGAACAAGTTGTTATGGTTGGTTGCTGGCTTGCTATGAAGGAGGTAATGAGTTGATTCTTACCACTTATTAGACCCTCTTTGGAATGCGGGAATTTTTCCCGTTTCTTGCGTTTTCCTGTGAAAATGAACTAATTCCTGGGAAACTGCGTCCCAAAGGGGCCCTTAACCTTCTTTTTTTGTTGGTAAAAATTATGTTTCAGCAGATTTATCCTTATTTTTCCATGATAAGCTGAATAACTTCACAAATGCCATGACCTGTGGTATGCTACCATCATACTATGATCATACTATATGCATGATGCCCTCCCCTATGTTTGACTCATCCTAGATGGGTCGATTCCAGTCAAAAAAGGGGAAAAAAAAAAGCTTTTTCACGCCATCTGTCCCATCACACCAATCTACGCCAAGATAAAGAATGCTTCCAGGAACAAACCCTTTGATTCAAGGTCTTGCGTAGAATTGCCTTAAGAAAAATGCATCCCATTAATTGATCCTCTTTAGGGTAGTATAAGTACATCCTCGAGTATAGCACGAAGCCGTTCACTATACTAACCTTCCACTGATAAGCTGTTTAGTTTATTTCAGTTTCACACTATTGTGGCATTGCAGGTATGCTTAAATGTCTCTTTAAGTTTTTATGATGTAACTTCTCCATTTTACTTTTCAGGTCAGTTTACTTTTTGGAACCATCATCAGGAAGATACCATTGCCTGGCTGTTCTCATTCAGCTTCATCTCAGAATGGTTTGCCTGACAGTACTGAGGAGACAAGCATGTCTGAAAAAATTCTTGATGTGGGGCAGTTAAAGATGATGGGTGACCATTTTTTACAGGTTCTTCTTAAAATGAAGCATAACGGTGCAATAGATAAAACAAGGGCTGGGTTCACTGCCCTTTGCAACCGTCTTCTTTGCTCAAATGATTCAAGGTATGTTCAATTGTTACAGAGGCCAGTTCCTGAACCTCTTCACCCAAAGATGGGAATTCATATGCATAAAACCTTATGTTACAGTTTCTATTTAGATTCAGAATGTTTACATAACAAATGAAATTTAAGCCCTGAGTTTGTGAGGCATCGCAAAACAACACTCTACAAATTTTTCATCTGTTCCATATATATAAACATATTGAATCCACTGCTGGTGCATATGCATTAACTCTGCACACCAATAACTTTGCTATATTCTGAAGGTTGAAATTCATAACTGTCAAAGTAAAACAGTCATGTTTGAATTGGTTTGCATCCCAACTTTTGCATGTGAGTACATATTTGTATGCACTATGGATATACCAAATTTCAAAATTTTCTGAATGACCAAAAAGTGTTTTTGAATTGGTTTCCATGTTTCCACCTATGTGGTTTCCACCACATATTTTGCCATCTGAAACAGTCTACAATTGCATACCATGTGTAAATATAAACTTTTGATAACTTTCTGTAGCTCAGTTGGTGGGAGGTGTGGGTGCACAGCCCCCACAACTCAGGTTTGAGTCCTAATCAACACAAATCTGGGTGCCTATTTCGTATTTACAATGTCACCTAGGTTGGTCAAGTTATTTTTGTACACATTTATGAGGATCTTTCTTTGTTGTTTACAGGCTGTGCAAAATGACAGAATCATGGATGGTGCTACTGATGGATAGGACAATTGCTAAAGGGCAAACTGTGGATGATTTGATAAGGAGAAGTGCAGGAATTCCAGCTGCATTTATCGCCCTGTTCCTGGCAGAGCCAGAAGGAACACCAAAGAAACTACTTCCAAGGGCATTAGAATGGCTGATAGAGTTTGCTAAGAACTCTTTAGCTAATTTCCAGAAAGACTCCAACCAGAGGTCTGGAGTAATGAAAGATGATCTTGGAGAGCTATTGGAATCACAATCAGAAACTACAATAAGTGTACATTCTAATGGTAACCTATCTAAAAGCCGAGATGAGGGTGTTGTTCCCACTGTGCATGTGTTCAATGTGCTTAGAGCTGCCTTCAATGATGCAAATCTGGCAACTGACACTTCGGGTTTCAGTGCTGATGCAACAATAGTTGCTATACGTGCATTTTCATCTCCCTACTGGGAAGTACGCAATGCAGCTTGCCTTGCGTATACTGCACTAGTTCGTCGCATGGTTGGGTTTCTGAATGCGCAGAAGCGTGAATCAGCTCGACGATCTTTAACTGGCCTTGAATTCTTCCACAGGCAAGTTCATAACGTTTATACATAGTTTGCAATATGATAGTTGTGGTCACGTGAAGTTATACTGCATCACTCCTCTTTGTGAAAGACAGAAACTTAATGTGTTGCAAATATAAAGTTTGTAACCTTTTTTTTTTCTGGTTGAGCAGTTCAGTATCTTTTACATGATGCATGAACATGAGTAAATTGATCAGAAAAGAATTTAGCATCGTTGCTGTTTTGAGGTCAGATAGTTGTTTTTTTCTCTCTTTGATACAAAGATGCACAGCTCTCCTGTGTGTTTGAAAAAAAGAACTTTCTATTATTGCATGTGTTTGTGGTGAACATGAATATCCTAAGTGCTCAATCTAATTTGTACGTAAGTAGATGAGGTCAGCTTTTCAATTGAGATTTATTCCTTGTTTTCTTATGTAGGTACCCAGCCCTTCATCCTTTCCTTTCTAGTGAACTGCGAACCGCAACTGAACAGCTAGCTGATGGAGTGTCCAGCAATTTGGAGTCACACATTACAAAAGCAATACACCCTAGCCTGTGTCCGATTCTTATTCTTTTATCAAGACTTAAGCCT